GCCCCAGCATCGCCGTGCCTCCCTGGCCATCCTTCGCCGCGTCGGCACAGGGGCGGCTATGCTGGCCCCACCCTGCCACCCCGTTGGGTTTTGGTTTCCCAATGTAGGAAGGAGCCCAAAGCCGTGCCAAAACCCCCACGGGGGTGTCCGACTCATCCTGCTTTGCCGGAACCTCCGCCGGGAATAAAGCCACCCGTCCGGCTGCTGGGAAGGCAGAGGTGCTGCGCACTTGGCAAGGTAAGGACGGATCCGGGCTCAGCACCATGAATCGGGAGGGACTGGATGAGCTGGGATGAACTGGGATGAGGAGTTGCTCTCTTGCCCCAACAGTGGGGTCTGCGATCAAGTTTAAGGACGTGGAGTAGCCCAGGGTGCCAGTGGTGGCAGCTGGGGGTGGTGGGTGATGGAGACATCCCGGTGGGGAGCGGAGCTGGGCGATGCCGGGGGCTGGCAGATGCGATGCCAGGCGGGTTCACCACGGCAGGATGGGATTTAGCTTCCCCTGGGATCAGCAAGCTGGCAGACAGCCCATCTCAGCTCCACGACCTGCTGCAGGCGGTGCCCACCATGGCACACTGTTGCACACCGGGACTTACGAAGGAGGACTGACACGGATATTTTTTTTGCTCTGTCCCCAAATCCAAAGCAGTTTTCCAAGTTCGACTCCCATTGCTGCATCCCTGTGGCTCAGCATCCCTCCTGGCAGGATGGGGACCATGGCGCTGGCACTGTCCCTGCTGACCACCACTCTCCTGTGCCCAGCCACCGCCACGCTGCGTGTCGGTGCCTTCAACATCCAGGCGTTTGGTGATACCAAGATGTCCAACGAGAGAGTGGCGGGCATCATTGTCAATGTGAGTGCAGCTGGGCTGTGTGCTGGGGTGGTCCCAAAATATGGCTCTTGTGCCAGAGACACGTGGGGATGTGGCTATGGATGGGATGGCATCCTGCTGCGGGGATGCCCTGGGTGGATGAAGGCTTAGTGGGGTGTCAGGCACACCCCACGGTTCCTCTGAGCCCTCTGTGGGGATGTCTGTCCAGTGCCAAGGGACATGCAGGTCCTCATGGTGCTGCACCCATCACCACATCAGGGTGCCTGTCTGGGAGACGGGTAGGAGAGGAGAGGGTGGCCCTGAGCCGGCACCAGGCTCCCCCTCGCCATCACCGTCCCTCTTGGCCCCACAGATCCTGCGCCGCTACGACGTGGTGCTGGTGCAGGAGGTGCGCGACTCCGACCTCAGCGCGGTCACTGAGCTCATGGAGCAGCTCAACAGGTACGAGCGGGGCCGGCGCCGAGAGCGCGCGGGCGGAGACACCGGCATTAGGCAGGGAAAGCCAAGCTGCTGGAGTGATAGAAAGCAAAAAGAAAAAAAAAAGTCCATCAGCAGAGTGGGTTTTTTTGGAATAAGAGAAAAGTGCAGCACTGGGGCCAGGCGGCCGCTGCTGCTGCCTTGTTGAAAGGTGGCGAGTGCTCCCGACCGAGTACGCCCAGCCTGTGTCCTCACCCCTTCGGTGTCCCCTCCAGCACGGCCACAAAGCAGCTGGAGCAGGGAGGGTGACGCCAGGCTCCATGGGGCCCCGGGCTGCTCATTAACCTAATTTAGCTTTGTTGCAAATGAAGGTGGGGAGCGTCCCTGCAGAGAAAGGGGTGGCAGGAGCCGCCCTGCGTCCTGCCTGCGGCTGGCTGTGCCCAAGGAGCCACGGTGGGGTGGTGGGGACAGCGGGGGGGCTCGGGGGCCACACCCCCCATGTCACACCA